CTAGGGATCACATTTTCCAGTTGCAGCATGAAAAATATGAAGCGTCATAGAAATGTATGGAATCTGACATGTACTGTGTTTAATGGTAACAATTGCATGAATGTGGACCAGCCTTAAACAGAGTGTGTCACTTACAAGAGCAAGATGTCATTTAACCCCTGCTGCTCAAAACCGCTTAAAGGGCTAATCAACAGAAAGCAACCAAATGGGGAGTGCATAGAAGAAAAATCACGTGAAACACATTGCAAAGATAAATATAGGAACAACTGTGTTTAATGACTGAATGTTCTAATGTCTGTATACCTGGAAAAGTCTAACACTGAATTCACACTACTGAATTGGAGAAACGCTGCAGTTTAGCACACAACTTAGGGCGCACATGAAAAGTACCTGCAACATTAAAAAAAAAAATCCACACAATGCATGGTTTACATCTGAGTATTGCAGTGCGTTAAAATGCATGTGCGTTGTGGTGAACTGACATGGGGCATAGGGTGCAACTGAAAACAAATGGTCTCACTGTGCACGACACTCAGCTTCCATATGTTAACCTGTGCTGCAGGAACATGCAGTAAAAAGCACATTTTGCTGCCAGTTACCACAACGCTACATTAACAACATTAACATTTAGTAAAATAGACAAGCATTTCAAAAGGCACGGATTCACATCAAACACAGGATTTTAATACCACTATAGTGTAAATTCAGCCTGAGTAATGAAACACATTGTACCAATTGTATAAAGAATGCACAGTTTGTGCATTATTTGGGTGTCTAGGCCCCTGGTGGCCAACCAGCAGCCTGGGGGGCAACATGGCACTTTCCTTGGGGCCCCTGAAGGCAGTAGTCCATTTTCCTATTGCTCTGTAGTAGCTGTGATCTCCAGCAGTCTTATGTTATTTGTGTCCACTCTATGACTGTCTCCTGAAGCATGTCCCCAGTGAACAATAACTCCTATAGCATGTTTGCACTCTTTGCCCATCTCTGGTTGCAAGCAATTAGTCTTTGACCATCTCTTGCAGCAAGCAGGTAGTCTTTGACCATCTCTTGCAGCATGCAGGTAGTCTTTGACCATCTCTTGCAGCAAGCAGGTAGTCTTTGACCATTTCTTCTAGCCAACAGGTAGTCTTTGACCAACTCCTGTTTGTTCGCAGTCTCTGGCAGCTTTCTGCAGCATTACATTCATCAAAGCAGAACACTGGGGAAATGTTTTCTTAACCCCACACTGCAAGAGTCAAGTGCTCGTTTTTGTCTAGTTAAACATATCAAAGTTATACACCGAGCCACTTTGTTCCTAGACCATTCCCTTCCGCCTCCCTCCTCCTCCACTGCAGTATATCCCTTGGATTTCTCAAGTCATATACAAAAAGTGTATTGGACGCGATGACTCGTAGCACCTTAGACCATTGAGCGGAGGGGGGAGCGGCATGAAAGGGGCCGTGCTAATGGCCAGCTGGATTCGAGGATCGGGCGACTATAACTTTTTTTATTTTTGAACCTAGACAAAAACGAACACTTAACCCTTGCAGCACAGAGGTAGCCCCACTGCAAGGGTTAACGGATTCTGTCCAGGAGTTGTTGTTTAAGCTAACCTTTAAAGTGTGTCCATAACATTTAAATTCTAAAGCCTAGCAGCCCCACTGCAAGGTTTAAGAAATTTTTCCCCCGAAGTATTGCTTGAAATATTATGTGTGGCCCTTTGATGATGCCAACTGAAGCCCCTATATCAAGAAAGTTGATCATTACTAGTCTGGCGGTCTCTTGGTCTGGCACTGAGATGTGTCCACCCTGTCCATGTATTTCCTGTTCCTTTACATACACTAATAACATCAAATGTTACAATATCAAATCTCTTTAAATATTTTATTTTTTGTTGTGTTTTTTTTTTATTTTACTTTATCCTCCAAAACACCTTTTCTTCATGGTGCCGAAAATATTTACTGAAAACCGTTGTTAGAACAGCATTTCAAGGTTGACCAATGTTTTTCAATGTTTCTTAGCGATGCCAGGGATACAACACTTTATACACCTCCCCTTATACGAGCCTGAGCTCACATGAAGTAAAATTAAATGATAATCCTTCGAGCAAAAGAGTTTGTAAAACAAAGGTTCAGAAGCGAAGGCTCGAGCACACAGCCTTGTAGACACAAGCCTGAAAGAGTCACAAACACCACAGTGAAAGGGGGGGGGGGGGAGGAATAGACGAGCATCACATGATCTGCGTTTGCAGCGTTACATTCAGAATTGCATGGATCACATTTTCAAATGGCATACATATAGAAAGCGCAATATGAAGTTAGATCATGATAGAAGAGGTATGCCAGGCTGCTATAGCCGGGAGGCATCATGACATGGTATAGTGAAGTACAACTCATATCAAAGGTTTCTGCTAGTACAAGCTGTAAATTAAATATGCAAATGAAATGTTATTTCACAGTAATCTGAAATATGATTGGTGGCAGCTGGTTTCTATACTGCACATTAGCAGTGCTTCAATGCCACTGAACAAGTTTAACCGTGTTTAAAGCCTTTCACTGGGAAAACCAAAAGCCTCCCCTTGCAGCGGGCTACCCCTCCACTGCAAGGGTTAACTGTTGGTCAATGTCTATGGGAACTGTGTACAGGACTTTTCATTTACCTATCACATTGTATATTTTACATTCACAGATCGGGGGCGGGAATCAGTGTTACAAATGAATGAATAAAATTGATAGAAGTCCACCCTACATGCAGGAGTGACCAGCAGAATCTCACCTTACATCCAGAAGTGCCCAGCAGAGTTCCCCCTGCCATCCAGAAGTGCCTAGCAGAGTCCCTCCCTAAATCCATGTGTGCCCAGCAGGGTCCCCCTGCCATCCAGAAGTGCCTAGCAGAATCCCTGCCTAAACCCATGTGTGCCCAGCAGGGTCCCCATTACATCCAGGAGTGCCCAGCAGAGTTCCCCCCTACATCCAACAGTCTCAATCAGAGCCCCCCCTCCGCCCACCTTACATTCATGTGTACCCAGAAGTCGCCCCCCTTTTAAGTGGCATAAAAAGAGGGCAGAAGCTGGGAGGTCAGGATGGGAGCCATATGGAGGGAATGGGGAGAATAAAATCAGTGGTTGCTAGGATGCTGGTGGTTCTAGCAACCACCCATAGTGAAGGGGGGGAATCTGCACTTTGGATGGAGGGAGGGTCACGGCTGGCAGTGGATGCCCAGTTCTACACATTACTATGCACAAACTAGAGCATCCACTGCCAGCCCACTGGGGCTGCTGCAAGCCAGATAAAATCTAGTATCTTGACATGGCACGCAGGTCTTACTTTAGGGACCTCGTGGCATGGAGTAAAAAGGTTGAGAAAGGCTTTTTTAGAATATTAAGCTCCATGTTCTATGTGGAATTAAACACAGCTGTATTTTGATAACAAACAAAAGTGGAACTTACAACTACCGAGCAGTTCCTGACCAGGTGAATGTGAAGACCCAGCAATTGGCAGAACGCAATGTACGCAAGAGGTTTACATATTCAACAGGAACATATACATACTAGTTCCAAACAATCATCTGCATATAACACAACGTCCAGTGACCCACACTATGACAACAATCTAATATCAATTACCACATTGTGAACATCACTACTGCCTTGTGCAGTGCTATATTTAATGATCACAGACATGCTTAGTATATACAAGTGAACCCGTGGCACCTGAAGTATGGATGGCAGAGCTCATGGCCAAAGCCTCAATTTGTAGTCGTAACATCAGTTTTACTTTTAACAATAAAAATAACACGAGATGTTTATTTACACCCTGAATCAATTTATAAATCAGCGGTGGCAAAAGCCGTCTCTCTTCCTGTCCCAGTGATTTGCCCCATTGGGCCCACTTCCTGCTGGCTATATTAAGCAAAGTGCACACAGACAAACCCAGTCACCAACTGAGTAATGACATCTTGGCATCTCAGACGGTCTAGTGTGCTGCAGGTGATATTGATATATGGGCTGCTCTGAAAAAGATAGGTAGCACTAGTGCAAGGGGCTTCAGATGCATAAATAAAGCAGTGCAGTAACCCATAGCAACCAATCGGTTAATCTCCGTACACTAAACTGAAATTGATTGGTCTCTATGGCCAGGATAAGCAAATATTGCCTATATACAAGAGGCAAGTATAGTCTTCCTTGAGTGTTGGGGTGCTTTCTGTATTTCTTCCAGATCTGTGTAATAACCCAGTAATGTGCAGGAGCTTTCTGTAATAAAGACCAGTCACTGCTGCTCTACCTCCTTGTGTAGGGTGACTGGTCTCGTCTCCGCCCCCCTCTTCTAGTTTTCGGTAGGCAGCCTGTAGTGAGGCCCCTCCCACAGCTCTGCTCTTCACAGGTTATGTGCCACTGCTACTTTTACAAGGTAATAACTATGTATCCAAAAGGTATTTGGTGCACACAAAGTGGATTTATATCCCCTGTGGCTATTGTGGAATATGTTTGAATAAAAGCTTATGTGCCTTGAGTTCACCTTAAAATAAGGCAGTGAAGTGACCCATAGCTGTCAAGAACTCGTCAGTTAATCTCAGCACATGAAAATGAAATTGTCAGGTCTCTATTGCCCATGTTCCTGTGCACCACCTTATCATACAAGTCTCTCTATAATAAGTGGACCTGCCTTACAGTCATCAGCTGAAGACAACAATCACATACAGGTCTATGTTATTAAGCAGTGCAAAGGGCACCAAGGCAAAGCAATGTGCAGTTAAACCACAATGACCAATCAGAATCAGCCGTTCATTAGGTTAACGGGAAAAAAAGATGCTTGCTAAGAGTTAGTGCCTGCTGCCTTGTTATATAAGATATTTTGTAAGACCAATAATTGAAAAAGCAGTTGTGGACTGTGTAATCGATGATGACGGAATATGTGACAGCCACACTATTGACGTTTTGTAGAAGAAAAAAAAAAAAAGTGTGTTAGCAATTGCCACGCACAGGCGGTATCTATGCAACAAGCACTTCCACGTTTCCTCACCTTGATAATACTGCTCCTGCGAGGGAGACCCTGCTTGCCGTTTTTGTCAAGGCCGGGGCTGTCGGGCTGTGCGGATCCGCTCTCCTCCCTGCCATCCGCCCGGGCGCAATCTCCATTGGACACACCGCCGCCGCCGGGCGCAACCTCCATTTTACACTTCCCTCCATCGCTTTCCCCAGTTCCCTTCTCCCCGCCGGTCGTGGCGGCCAGCTTCGTGATGACAGAATCCAGTTGTGAGGGCACGCTACCGTTACCCTCACCTGCACAACCTCCTCCCCCCACCGGTTCTGCCATGAGCCCTTCAGCAGCAGAGCCTCTTCTTCTCTTCTACTTCTCTCTTTCTGCAAGATCAGCTCCAATAAGAAGAATAAAGGAGAAAAGATGTGATCACGGAAAGGCCGGCGCTTTGTGCTGACACCTGAGTCTCCAATGGCGAGGTTTTAAAATGCGGGAAGATGAAATGAAAAATCCAATCCGAGGCATCGGCTTCCTGGAGGAGGAAAAAAAAAAGGACACGGTGTATCAAGGCGCTGCAACTGTCCAAGCAGAGACACGGCATCAATCACAACATGTACATATGTATCAATGCGTGTGTGTATTGCTAATATATATATACACATACACACACACATCTGACTGCACATACCAAAGCACAATAGCATGTAAGAGATGCCTTTGGTTGAGCACCTTCATTCATAGGTGATGGTGTACTTACAGCAAGAGATGTTACAACACACATTCATCATGAGATGAGAGGATGTGTAATGTCACATCTCCAGTGTGCTCCAGCTGTCACACACACACAACACATGCACTAAGCTCTCCCTAGGAGGAGGAAACCACAGGGCTCATCCTCTCTATCTACACTCCACAAGACATACCACAAAGGCTCATCACACATGTACATCGCACACACAGGCGGCGGCGGCTCCCCCGTTCTGCTGCTAGTCTGGTCACTTCGCTGGGAGTCCCAATGACAGCTGTGGCTTTGTGTTGCTGCTGCTGCCATGCATGTGTGTGCAATGCCCCTGAGATGTGCTCACACCATATGCTGCTAGCTAGCCGGAGCTCTGACTTCCACTGATCGGAGCGGGGATGAAGCAGGATGTGTGTGTGATCCTGACTCCGGCTACTGATGTACATGTGGAAGGGTGTGTGCGGGGCTGCCAGGGAGATCCGGGCACATCTAATAGGAGTTGCATGCATGTAGCGGATGGATGGTGATCAAAGCGGTGCATATGTCAGTGGGCAGAAGGGAAGTCTACGGCGGTGATCAGGTACGGCTGCGGACATGCGGATCCTCTCCTGTCATAACACTCACCTAGATTCCCGGACTCCCCCTGGCCGGAGCGCCAGCCGCTACCACCGGCACCCTGAGCAGCTTCTGCACTGCCGGGGTGAAACCACAACACCCGTGGGGGGCGGGCCTTTCCCCTGCCAGTCAACCCGGCAGCCCGCGGTTCATTGGTCTCCGAACCAACCCGTGAGCTGGCTTCCCCGCCGTTCACCACGCCCACCTGTCAGCGCTCTGATACGCCTACCTGCAGCCCCGGGGATGTGCGGCCAGGCGATGCATCTTCCGCGGGCGATGAGTTCTCTTCTTTCCCGCATCGGGATCGCTCAGACTTCAAGGAACATCGGATAGGGAGGCTGGCACTGCGGGAGCGCTCCTTCTGAAAATGCTTTCATTGGATCATGCTGATCCAGTGGCTTCAATGCTTTCTGACCTGAAACAAGTTGGCTGCCATCACTCTACTTTGCTGAGAGCATTTTTAGAAGGAAGTCAACAGTGTCAAAATCATTAATTTAAAGTATTACTAAAGACTCACCATATTCTAGCCTGATGCGTCCCAGGAAGACTGTAAAGCAATCTCTAGTAAATATTTTCCTTCCTGTCTGCAAATATATATCTACAATTCTGTTTTTTTTTACCGCCGCTGACTCCAGGTCCCAGAGTGCCACTTCCCCGAACCTCTGGTTAGGGGACATCTAATAAATAAAATAAAAACACCCTCCAAACACACACACATGCTTTCTACTCTAAATTATGGTGCAGAGGGGAAATTGAAGATGCATTTTGCTGGTCAGGTAGGAGTGAAGGAGGTACTACTGGTATATTACAAGCCCGGAGCATGGGTAGGGCATCATGAAGAATTCTCATATCTCATCATCCCCAGACATGAGCAGTGTTCAGGTCTATGTGAGAGCAGGATGTGGTCACAGCACCCACCCAAATCACATCTCATGTAAATGGCCCCGAAACCTCCAAGGGCCCCACTGCAGCTTCCCAGTCAGCACAAATGGTATGTCTGCCGCCGAATCATGCATTGCAAAATCAACTTTAAATGAGATGAAACTCAAGTTTTACTGAGAATGAAATCTTCTTCTGGGGGAGCTACATATATTTTTAGCACAGTCTTACCATTCTCTGTTCTGAAAGTGGGGATGTTTGCAATCATATCATTTCTGGAACAGAACATTAAATGGGAGGATTCATCTTTAATGTCATCACCTGAGCTATCTTAGTGATGTACTAGGAGGGAGAGTATAATCTCCTTCATACCTTTGTTGCATCTTGATTTTCATGATCTCTTCCAGCCTCTTTACAGCCACTTCCTGTCTACATGCGCTCCAGCAATGGCTGCATGACATTTCTTAGAGCAGGTTTCCTAATGGTGACAGTGGACCATGTCTGTGTAATGTGTGCTAAAACAGACACTTTGGGGATTCATTTATATGCAGTTTGCATGTCAGTAGTGCCCCTAGATGGAGCTTACAAGTATAGAAATGTCCTAATTTATGAATGAATCCCTTGTAGTCTCAATCGGAGTGCCATGTGACAGGGTGACAACACAGAAGCACAGTTGGGAGACAGAGCGTTGTCACCCTATAACAGGAAGTGCCTAAACAAGGACCTTCCTGGCAGGATCGCCAGGTATTATTTGAGTGAAAATTTCAAATTTAAAAAATATTGAATATGACTTTTGAAGAGAAATTAACATGTTAATATTTCTTTAAGGTTTAGTAATTGGGTTTAAAAAATACTTTAGATTATAAAAGAGTTTGAGTAGCAATTTTTGGTTTGTTTTTTTTAAGTTAGGCCGCCCTCACATGGCGTAATCAGCTCCAATCAGCAGGGGATCTGTGCCCGGCTTCTTTGATGTTTTCAGCAGTATGTAACGGATTTTGTGTCCATCCAGCTTTTTCCACCATCTTACGATTTACAGAAATACTGGAGGGAATTCATAAAAACTGGAGCATAGAGAATCTGGAGCCGTTGCCCATAGTAACCAATCAACTTCTCTTAAAACAGAGAAGCGGATTAGTTGCCATGGGCTGGAACAGGAGCAGGCTGGACTGGAGCACTAGAGGCTGGAACAGGAGCAGGCTGGACTGGAGCACTAGAAGCTGGAATAGGAGCAGGCTGGACTGGAGCACTAGAGGCTGGAATAGGAGCAGGCTGGACTGGAGCACTAGAGGCTGGGACAGGAGCAGGCTGGACTGGAGCACTAGAGGCTGGGACAGGAGCAGGCTGGACTGGAGCACTAGAGGCTGGAACAGGAGCAGGCTGGACTGGAGCACTAGAGGCTGGAACAGGAGCAGGCTGGACTGGAGCACTAGAGGCTGGAACAGGAGCAGGCTGGACTGGAGCACTAGAGGCTGGAACAGGAGCAGGCTGGACTGGAGCACTAGAGGCTGGAACAGGAGCAGGCTGGACTGGAGCACTAGAGGCTGGGACAGGAGCAGGCTGGACTGGAGCACTAGAGGCTGGGACAGGAGCAGGCTGGACTGGAGCACTAGAGGCTGGGACAGGAGCAGGCTGGACTGGAGCACTAGAGGCTGGGACAGGAGCAGGCTGGACTGGAGCACTAGAGGCTGGGACAGGAGCAGGCTGGACTGGAGCACTAGAGGCTGGGACAGGAGCAGGCTGGACTGGAGCACTAGAGGCTGGGACAGGAGCAGGCTGGACTGGAGCACTAGAGGCTGGGACAGGAGCAGGCTGGACTGGAGCACTAGAGGCTGGGACAGGAGCAGGCTGGACTGGAGCACTAGAGGCTGGGACAGGAGCAGGCTGGACTGGAGCACTAGAGGCTGGGACAGGAGCAGGCTGGACTGGAGCACTAGAGGCTGGGACAGGAGCAGGCTGGACTGGAGCACTAGAGGCTGGGACAGGAGCAGGCTGGACTGGAGCACTAGAGGCTGGGACAGGAGCAGGCTGGACTAGAGCACTAGAGGCTGGGACAGGAGCAGACTGGACTGGAGCACTAGAGGCTGGGACAGGAGCAGGCTGGTCTTGAGAACTAAAGACTAGAACAGCAGCCTGGACTGGAGCTCTAGAGGCTGGGACAGGAGCAGGCTGGTCTTGAGAACTAAAGACTAGAACAGCAGCCTGGACTGGAGCTCTAGAGGCTGGGACAGGAGCAGGCTGGACTGGAGCACTAGAGGCTGGGACAGGAGTAGGCTGGACTGGAGCACTAGAGGCTGGGACAGGAGTAGGCTGGACTGGAGCACTAGAGGCTGGGACAGGAGTAGGCTGGACTGGAGCACTAGAGGCTGGGACAGGAGTAGGCTGGACTGGAGCACTAGAGGCTGGGACAGGAGTAGGCTGGACTGGAGCACTAGAGGCTGGGACAGGAGTAGGCTGGACTGGAGCACTAGAGGCTGGGACAGGAGTAGGCTGGACTGGAGCACTAGAGGCTGGGACAGGAGTAGGCTGGACTGGAGCACCGGAGGCTGGGACAGGAGTAGGCTGGACTGGAGCACTAGAGGCTGGGACAGGAGTAGGCTGGGCTTGAGCACTAGAGGCTGGGGCAGGGGGAGGTTGGGCTTGAGCACTAGAGGCTGGGACAGGAGTAGGCTGGACTAGAGCACTATCTGCTGCAGTTTTTATGAATTCCCCCCAATGAGCTGTAAAAACCCATGTTAGGTCTATGGAGGGTCCGACAATTGTGTCTGTTTGCTGCTTGTCTTGCACTTGCACCTAATTTAGAGTGGTCCCAAATTTATTAAATATGCATTTTTTAAGGACCCTGTAGTAAAAGATGATTATTAGTTACATACTTCCTGCAGACTCTGACTCTGATTTTTACTCTGTTAAAAAGCAGATCTGTCTGAAGAATCTTCAAACAAAAAACACTTCTAGACTTGTCTTATGACTGGTCCCTCGCTGCCTGTTCTGGCTCCATCTGCTGGGCCCTATGTTATTAGAGAACACAAGGCTGTCAGATATAAAAGATTATTCAGGGGCTGTAGCTGTTGAACAGAGAAAAGAAAGGGATCGGCCTCCACAGTACAAGTAAGTAATAATTATCTTTTATTGCAGAGTGCTTTAATAAATAAAACTCTACGGTCACATGGTTGCTTTAACTGTCACACTCATCATATGCAGAGATATGGGCTGCTGCCATTGGTATACCTGGGCCAGCCCTAGGATGGTTGCTCTTTACTCCCAGTCTGGCTGGCATGATAGG